TTACTCAGGAATAATTTTGGAGATGGCAATGGCAACCCACTCCAGTACGCTTGCCTGGAGAATCCCATGGAAGGAGCCTGGTAGGCTGCAGTCCATGGGGTCATGAAGAGTCGGACACAACTGAGCAGCTTCACTTTCATGCACTGGAGAAGGAAATGGCAACCCACTCCAGTGTCCTTCCCTGGAGAATCCCAAGGACGGGGGAGCCTGGTGGGCTGCCATCTATGGGGTCGCACAGAGTTGGACACGACTGAAGCAGCTTAGCAGCAGCAGCAAGAATAATTTAAACTAGTTGTATTTCTTTAAATTACTATATTACACATATCTAAGATACTCTTGACTTTCGTATATTCAGTTCAGAATGTTCCAACCTAACTCAGTTAACTGTTAAATTTTATTTGGGGGTTTTGACCAACTTTATTTCTTACTTGGATTATTATAGGAACTTCTTAACTAGTAGTACATATACTTTGGATCTCCTGCTTTTGTATCTTCCCGGACTCTGCTGTTAAGTTTTTTACCTAAACTATACATTTAGCTGTATCACCTGTGTACCACTTAACTGTCCTAGCTCAAAAATCGGTAATCACCCTTTAATACCCACAGAATAAGTCAAAACTTGTTTCCATCCTGTTTATTATTCTCTCTGATTCTGTTCATCCTGTGTTCTGGCCATACTGGAATTCTTAGCACTTCTCAAACATGCTAACTTTGTGTCTTTCTGCTTATTTTTTTCTTTGAATTCAACCAGTTAAAACTACATTTCAACTTTTACCAATCAAAATTTTTTTTCTTTGTTTCTACGGGGTTTGTATTGTAACACTGTAGCACTACTTATACTTTTTTTAAATTAATTTTCGTTGGAGTATAGTTGCTTTTGTTTATCCTTTTTTTATATCATGATGTTATGGCTTTCTGTTCGACTTGACTATGCTTTTTTTTTTTTTTTTTTTGAATTCTAGTGTTTATTGAATAAATGAAAGTACAGCTTTTAAGGATCAAAGAGACGTGTTCACATGGGCTAGGGGAAGGTAATATGATGAAGTAAGAAGTAAAAGCAGACAAGAGCATCCCTGGCTTCATCGCCAGGGCTCAGCTTCACTTTTGCTTTATTTACAATGTAATGTTCACTCAATAAAGGTTTGGATGAATATTCTGAATTCGCCTACTTAGAATTTATTATTATTTAAAATAAAGAACCTTCTTAACAAATATGTCCTTCATACCTTGAGAATGTTTAGGGAAGGATATTGATATTCATATAGTCTTTGAAACATTCTATGTTTCCAGTGGACAGTACAGTTTACCAGTTATCTGCTATGCTACCTATTAATTGATTTTTGTTGTAGAAGCCTATCCCCACCACAAACTTTCCTCCTTTCTATCCCAGATAATTAGAAAGGATATTAAGTCTAGGATATTAAAGGATATTAAGAAGCTGTGTATCTTTATGCCTACACTTCTGGGAGATTGGTAAGTCAAATTTAAAAAGTTCATAAATAATACATGGCATTGATCTAGCCATCAAGCAGGAAATTTTTCTGCATACTTTTGATCTTGAAAAAATCAGTCATGCATCAAGAGTTAGAATATTGATGTGCAGATGAATTTTTATATTACTAGCTAAATTGAACAGTTCTGTCAACTAATTTGGTGTTCAAGTACATGCTTTTTTCTTTTTTAGAGTATGCTATTTTGTTTTTCTGTGGATGAGGTGAGTGGGTTAAAACACAACTGTCAGGGAAGAAGCTATAGAGAAGGGTGAGGGTGGAGATACTGACCAAGATGCATCAGTGTTAGAGGAACTTTCTTCAAGGAATGGTCTGTTTCATTTATCATATTTAACCTATTCACCACCCTCTGATTTTTTGGTTGCCTGACCACCTCATCGCCAGTGCACTTTTCCTCCATTCCTTCTCAGCCACCTCATTTCCATGGTAAGTGGTAGACTTTTGTCATTTCCAGTAGTTGCATCCCCTTTGAAAATTGTCAACTTCAAGCTCTTCATTCTGACCACCAGCTTCTGTTCTTTAGCATAGTTATTGGAACAGCTTACATTGAAACCAACCGTTTTCCATGGTCCATCATCCTTGCAGTAGGTTATATTTTCAAAATATGGCTGCAAAATATCTCTTATCCTATATTCTCCACAGTGTGACCTTACCACTCCATTATCAAGAGGTGGAGTTTATTTCTCTACCATTTTCTGGAGAAGAGTGTGACTGCTTTGATTGGTAAGAGTATAGTAAATTGGCAGTGACACTGCCAATTCCAAACTCAGCCTGTAATGGGCCTGACAGCTTTCATTTCCTCTTTGGAGCTTTCGCTTCCTCTTAGGATGCCAGGTGCCATGTCAGATGTGTGATTATCCTGAGATCATGCTGGAAAAACCAGTCACATGGAAAAACTGGAAAGTGAGATACCAGACATGGAGTGAAGAAGCCACCTTGAAATTGATTCTCAAGCCCGTCAATCCAGGCTTCAAGTGCAGCAGAGACAATATCTTAGCTGAGCTCTTCCTAAATTCCTTTTAGGGTGGATTGTTAGGAAGTGCTTTAGGATGTGTTTTCCAGAGAAACAAATTCCCAGATCTGCAGCTGATGAGCTGGAGACTCAGAAGAGCCCATGGTGTAGTTCTAGTCCAAATCTGAAGGCCTAAGAACTGGGAGAGCTGATTGTATAAGTTCTAGACTAGGTTTGAATTTATAGGAAGGAGAGGGTCAATGTCCCAACTCAAAGGCAGGCCAAGCATGAATCTGCCTTACTTTTCCATGCTGGGCTTAGTCGCTCAGTCATGTCTGACGGTTTGCAACCCTATGGACTAACTCCCTCACACTGCTCCCTTCCCCTCCAACTACCCCTTCCTACTCTCCCAAGGTGAGGATCCCATCTCATGCTTCACTGAAAAAGAAAAAATCAGAAACACCTCTATAAACCAAAATAGACTGTTATACAGTAGTTGAATGAACTACATGTACATGTATCAACATGATTAAATACCCAAACTATGTGAAAAAGGTAAGTTGCAAAATGTCTGACAACAGTCTACAGTGTGCTATGCTGTGCTATGCTTAGTCACTCAGTTGTGTCCAAATCTTGCGACCTGGTGGACTGTAGCCCACCAGGCCCCTCTGTCCATAGGAATTCTCCAGGCAAGAACACTGGAGTGGGTTGCCATGTCCTCCAGGGGATTTTCCCAACCCAGGGAACAGTCTACTACTTAATTAAAATTTTAAAATACACAAAACAGTAACATGGTGCTTATGTTTACATTCCTGCATAAAAGAAACACACCCAAAAAAAAACACCACACCAACTTCAGGATGATGATTACTTCTCAGGAGGAAAGAAGGGGTGACAGTAGAGAGATTTTATGTTATTCCTTTAAAAGAGAAAAATGAGGAGCTGAATAAAGATGACAACATTTTGTTACCTATTTAAATAATAGGTACAGGTCTATTTTTTAAGACGTTCAGAATTTAAAATTACATGGTTTAGTTGAAATGACAGAAAACTGTGTTAGGCTTATTAAAAGTAACCAAAGGTTGACTCTGATTAGATACTGTGCTTATGATTGTTAGGGTTGTTTGTTCTTTGTTTTAAGAACATTTGAGGAATAGTGGGGGTTTACAGTGAAAGACTTGATTTGGATGCAGTAAGTAAACTTGGATTTGGCTTCCCAGGTGGTGCTAGTAAAGAAAGAACTTGCCTGCCAACGCAGGAGACATAAGAGATGTGGGTTCAATCCCTGGGTAGGAAAGATCTCCTGGAGAAGGAAATGACAACCCACTCCAGTATTCTTGCCTGGAGAATCTCATGGACTGACCAGCCTGGGGGACTACAGTCCATGGGGTCACGAAGAGTCGGACATGACTGAAGTGACCGAGCATGCAAACTTGGATTTGAAGTTAGGCACTGTGCTAGGCAGAATACCTCCTCACTAACTCTCTGAAAAGGGGCAATTTCCCTTTTTAGTAAGTGGCTAAAGTGGGGTGGGATGGGGTAGGGAGGAGCAGGTCACAAACTTCTTTAGTTCTCTGCAGCAGTCATGAGGATGACATTTTGCATATCATTTTCCCACTTGCTAGCACATTCCAGTTTCATGTCTCTCCTTGAGCGTGTAATAACAGACTGGCCCACTTCTCTATTCCCAGAGAAAATAAGAACCAGGCAGTACTGGAGAGGATAATGTAAAATCTTTATGAGAGAGTGGGGTTTAATTCTAATATAAATATTTAAATTGTTTTAATATAAATTTAGAGCTGTTTCTTCCCCAATTGAAATAACCTAGGATATTAATATGACTTTATCATATTTAATACTTTAATAAGAACTTTAAAACAATAATTTCACCTCACAATCTCAGAGAAATCCTAAGGACAACCTGTCATTAATTTGTCACCAACACTTGAGCGGTTCCAAGGTTCAGGTTTTTAATAGTCTCCTCTGTGACACGTATACAAATAGTGCTGGTGGTGGTTTAGTCACTAAGTTGTGTCCGACTCTTACAACTCCATGGACCCTAGCCTGCTGGGCTCCTCTGTCCATGGAATTCTCCAGGCAAGAATACTGTAGTGGGTTGCCACTTCCTTCTCCAGGGGATCTTCCTGACCCAGGAATTAAACCCAGATCTCCTGCGTTGCAGGCAGATTCTTTACCAACTGAGCTAGGAAGGAAGCCTGGCACTTCTGGGTGTGTCATTGAGCTTGCTACAAATAGTGTGCAGTGTCTAATTAAATATGGTGACCCATTGTTCTCCTACATCACTGATGAACTTAATCACTCCTACACCTTCTGGATAATGGAAGAGAAACATTTTCTTATACTTTTATACTAGAGAGAATTCATTCTCTCAAATGGATCTCAGATGGCTATTTATTTTCAGACTCCCCTTCTGTCTTTGACCCCTTTCATGAACCCCACACTCTTCTGCCAGGGGCTACAGATTGCCTTGCATCCCAGTCTTGGGCCGTGGTATTGACTATCTCCTGTATGTGTGCATGCTCAGTTGTGTCCAACTCTGCGACTCTGGACCAAAGCCCACGTCTCTTAATTCTTCTGCATTGGGAGGTGGGTTCTTTACCACCAGCGCCACCTGGGAAGCCCCATTATCTTGTGTATCTGTGCTGTTAATTTTATTAGTGTTAGCTTTTACATTCATGGGTTTTACTGATGGCTCAGATGGTAAAGAATCTGCCTGCAATGTGGAAAATCCAGTTTCGATCCCTGGATCAGGAAGATCCCCTGGAGAAGGGAATAGCTGCCCACTCCAGTATTCTTACCTGGAGAATTCCATGGACAGAGGACCTGGCAGGCTACAGTCCATGGGATTGCAAAGAGTCAGACATGAGTGGGAAACTAACACTTTCACACTCTACAGAATGGCTCTCTTTATGTTTTGTCCTCTTCAGGCATTGTAATACACTGTTGTATTTTTGTCAGTGTAAGGTCATTGAATGACCTACAGATTCTAAAATGTATGAACTGTATTTTAAATGTTCTTACAGATTTTTTTTAATTAACAACTTTTAACTTAATGTAGCAAATTAGAAAAACATCTTATCTTGGGTAAACTATTAACATTCCCTTACTTGAGTTATTTTTAACAAAATGTATTACCTAAGGGGATAAAAATATTAAAACTCATTTTTAATTATCTGATAAACAAGGGTGCTATATTAATAAATGCATTTTTTGTATGTTTGAAATGTATGCTTTTGATATTTAAGAGAAAATATATGATAAATAATTAGAACAAATGTATCTAAAACTGTCAACTAGTGGCCCTTTTAAAAGGGCCGAAAAATTGCATTGATTATGAAGTGGATTTTTCATGATGTGCTGGATTAAGAGTGATGTGGATTTTGCCCCCAAAACAACACTTTGCCCTTAAAAATGACTTAAATGTGATCATTTGCATCTTAGGCATTAATGTGTACCACTTTTTCCTTTGAAAGAAGATGTTAAAGAATCTGTTGTTTCTAAATAGTCAATAAATTTGACTCTTTTTAATGATCGCTAAATAGCATCTTGGCATTCTAACCTGGTAGACATACTGGAACAGTGCCAATATTATATGTACCAGCAATTAAAATCTATAATGAAGATTTCTAAATGATGCATGAATGTATGTGTGGGTTAAAGCTAAAAATAAAGCCTAGAGAAATTAGGGAGTAAAAATGAAGTGGAATTTCATCATGTATTAGATCTAAAGTATTCAGTTCAAAACTATTTTTTTTTTAATCTTTCTATTCCACTTTGTCTTGATAGATATAGCTAAAAAGTGAAAGGAAAGTTCTGAAAAAGAGGATATACACCAGGATCAGACTAGGATGGTCAAGAATGAGGAGCTTAGGTATGGAAATAAAGAGGGGGAAAAGGTTGATTCATGTGAATTACAAATGAAAAAGTGACAGTAAACTTCAAATAAACAAATCCAGTGTTATGGCCTAAATTGTGCACTCCCCTTCCCACTCCAGCCAAATTCATCTGTAAAGCCTTTAGAAACTAGTGCCTCTGAATGGGGCTGTATTTGGAGATAGGACCTTTAAGGAAGTGATTTCGTTAAATGAGACCATTAGCATGGGCCCTAATCCAGTCTGACTGGAGTCTTTATAAGAAATTTCAACACACATAGAGGCATCAGGCATCTGAGAGCACAGAAAGACCATGTGAGGATACAGGGAAAAGGCAGAAACCAAACCTGCTAATACCGTGGTCATGCCTCCAGAATTGTGAGGAAATTAATTTCTGTTGTTTAAGTCACTCAGTCTCTGATATTTTATCATGGAAATCCTAGAAAACTAATACATCTAGGAGGTTGGTTTTCGAAATAATAGCATTTTAAAACCTCATAACAAAAGAAATAGTATAAGAAAGTCTAGAATTGAACATGTATTTCCAGATGGAAAGACCCATCATGTGCTGAGAATAACAGATGAAAATAGATACTCCAAGACAGATCATTTTTAAAGGTCAGAGCTTTAGACAAAAAAAGAGCATCTTATAAACTTTCAGCAAGAAGGCACATGCACACAAAGTTTCAAGACTAGAACAACGTCAGACCTCTGAATGGCTTCCCTGGGATCAAGAAGACAAGTCATCAGTGGCTTTGAAAGTTATGAGGGCAAAAAGAGAGTTCTAAGATCAAATTCTGAAAGGTTGTTGCTAAACCAAGAAAGATGTTGGGCTTCTTGGCCTCCAGAGGAGAATTCAATCTAGGGCCAGAGAGGAGGCTAGATTGCTCAGAACTTTTGCATAATAAAGTTTTATTAAAGTATAAAAGAGATACAGAAAGCTTCTGACATAGACATTAGAAGGGGGCAGAAAGAGTGCACCCCTACTTATCTTTAGCCAGATGTTACATAGCTACTAGCAAGCTGTTAATTATAGAAAGGAGATGTCTCAAAACTCAAAACTGAGTGGTACCAGGCCCCTCACCCACAACATGTATTTTGAGATAACATTGGCAAAAGGTGAGTTATCCCAGGCCGTAAAGCCATTGACATGAATCTTGAAGAAAAGCAGGTTTCCAAGTAAATATAGAGTTTCATTAACATAGATTAGGAGAACAGTGTATGAGTAAAACATACTGGTTTGTCAAGTCAGTTCTGAATCTTAGGTGGAACCAACTTGAAGACAGAGTCTAGGGCAAATACATAGTTCATTAACATAGCTTAAACATTTCCATAAGAAAAATGCATTGGTTATCTCAAGGTTTGAGAAAAATTAAGTTCAGGTGGAGCCAGGTGTCATCATGGCAACACAGAATTTTACGAGAAAACTCTTTTTAAATATATATAGAGAAGGGGAAAAACTCTTAAAATTTGTTTCCTCCTGCCGCTTAAGAGAGAGATAAAAACTATCAGGCACTTGCAGCCTATTTCCTCCATTTGGAGACCCCTGGCCTTCCTGCCTGTTACCCTCTCAATTCTATATCAAAACCATCAAAATATTGCCTCCTCTGTACCCTTTCCAAGGAAGACATTGGAAAATGTATCCTAGGGAAATTAAGCCATAAAAGAAAATCAAATCTAGAATGATTTCCTAGATGATAATTTTTCATGCAACTGAAATCCCAGTTGTTGGTAAAGGGCACTTCCAACATGACTGCAGACCTAGAGAGCCACCCATCCAAATTGAAGTAGGTCAGATAGCTCAGAGATAGAGATGAACTTTGATAGAATAATGTGTTGAACATTTTCAGAGGAAACTTACATATCTAGGGTAGCATTTAGAGGTGACATAATACTAAGTACGGGGAAAAGTGAAAGCAAAGTCGCTCAGTCGTGTCCGACTCTTTGCGACCCCATGGACTGTAGCCCACCAGGCTCCTCCGTCCATTGGATTTTCCAGGCAAGAGTACTGGAATGGGTTGCCATTTCCTTCTCCAGGGGATCTTCCCAACCCAGGGATCGAACCTGGGTCTCCCCCATTGTAGGCAGACGCTTTTACAGTCTGAGCCACCAGGGAAGTCAAGTACAGGGAAAACTACGTACAAATCAGACAAATATTGATGCAAAATGTATAGCAATGATTAGGCCGTTGTATCTTGGTACATTGTTGTAGCCACGCGTTCTGGGAAACAATCTCACTCAGAAGAACAATGCAGATAGTGAAGTGCAGTTTATTACACTGGCGGGCCCAAGGCAGAGTCTCCTCTTAGCCAAGGACCCCAACTGACTTTTGTGAAAACCTTTTATACCTTAAGTATATAAGTGTATAAGTGCTCAAGACCACATCCCCAAATTCCTTAAACCTAGCCTGGAAAATGTTAAAGGGAGATACAATCAGGTTACAGCCATGATTCATAATCAGAAGGGTCAGCAGATTATACCTTGTAGCCTACACAAATGGCTGCCATAAAGATTACAAAGGTGATTGACTACATAGGGGATTATTACATTCTTTTTGGCGATGGAAAACCTTGGTATGGAATCTTGTGTTTATCAGCCCGAGAGGCCAGTTTAGCCATAGGTATGTTATCCCTGTGGCTACTAGGCACATAGTCCAAAGCTCACTGAAAGTGCAAGATGGAGTTTTCTTCTTTTTCAAGATGGAGTCAGCTCGGCCTGTTCCTTTCCTCCCTCAACATAACTGTATTTACATGGTCAAAATAATGTAAACATGATGTAAATACTGACAAAATGGGAAGATGAGGTAAGGTGTGGGAGGATGTGTGTACATGTGCATAGGTTTGTGCTAAGGCCAGGAGCAAGGGATTGGAAGATGAGGTGATTAAAAAGAGCAAAATCTTCATCAGTAGGATGTCAAAAGATAATACCTAAATGAAAACTCTTTGAAATGCAAATTAAATGTGTTAATTTTGAGATGCACAGATAAATACACAGAGTCAGTGTGTATCACTGGAAGATGTTAACTCCAGGGAGCAGGAAATGAAAGACAGCAGTTTTTGTAACAGGGCTCATAGAAAGCTGACTTTTTAAGCACATGTGTCAGAGGTGTGGGCTCACTCCTATTCATCCTTCAGAACTGACCTGTTCCTTATTTTATTTGGAAAGCCTTCATTTGCTCTTCCAGATGCCCTTCTTTTTTACTGTATTAGACATCTTTACTTACCATGTCATAATACCTATCATCTAGTATTGTTATTGCTCTTGTCTTCATAACCCCAATGTAAGTTTTCATACCCTGTGTGTGTGTGTGTGTGTGTGTGTGTGTGTATTTAACAAGTTTTTTTACTTCATTGCCTAGCACAATTCCTAGTACATAGTAGGAGCTCCATAAGTATTTGTCAAGTGAATAACAGCACCTGCTAAACCATATTTCAGGAGCTATTTGCCAAGTCTAATTCTAGCTCCACAGTGAGACAACTACCAAATAAATTAACTAGTTTGTAGCTCCATTGTATTATTACTGCACTATTCAAGCAGCCTCTGTTAAATTATTAACGTGAATTGTAAGGTAAATAAACTACTTTAAAACTTTTATAGCATGCTATAAACAGTACCTAGTAAAGGCAAAGTAACATTCCTTCCAGACTAATGTTTTGTAACTTGGAGGACTTTGGGAAGCCCCTAGGACAGTCAATAGAGAATACCCTAAAATCAAATGCAAAATTTTGTGTGCAGGCATTTTTATGGAAAAAGAACCCATAATTCCTGTTAAATTAGGAAGGAAAGAATGATTTCAGAAATTTAAATGGCACTGCTCAGGGCAGCATGCCTTACATTTTACATTGTGCCATTTTTTTTTTTAGAAAGATATAGGACTCTCTACATATTTTGTTTTCTAAAAATCTTGAAACATAGAGATGGGAAAGCTACTATTCTACACTTGAGTATACAAAAAACACCGATTCAGGTTTGTGATTTTAATTAATCAGGAATAGAACTCGAACTGATGGAAATTTACCCATATCCAAAAGCAGGCTGTGTAAATTCTACCCAGAATTATTATG